ATTTTTGTGGCTTCATTCATTGTTACTTTTTAAAATCTGGAAGCATTACCAAGTAATATTGAAATAAATATTGCTATCGTTCAGTATGGAAAAGAGTTAATCGAGACTGCATTGTTGCCATATCGCCCAGCTCTAGTCCCAACGTATTTCTTGTTTTACATTTTTAATTTCTACAGCTTCCGAGAATCCTAAAAAGAGCCACATATTGATAAATAGCTGTGATAAATGATAGCTGTTTTAACATTAAGTTTTGATTAAATTGCCTCATGTTAGTTATGAAATAGTTTGAAAACAAGCAGGAAATATTCATGAGCCAATGACCACATTGAAGTGGTCCATATGACATTTAATCATATTAATACAAACATTTTTCTTCCATAAATAAAGCATGGAGATTTCAGATTTGCTAAAAAATGCCTCCTTTATTGACATTTATGAACCTTTTTCATTACAAAATTGTTTTAATTATTATGTTCAATGGCACATTACAAGCGACTCAAAGTTTATGGCACAAGCAGAGTTTGTGTTGAGCCGCATTTATAATGAACAGCGCTGCTTAGAGACACTGAAAACACTGTTACCATCAACTGCTCATGTCACAGTGCTGTGTGTGTATAATTACATATGAGTTGATAATTGCACTGTATGTTGCTCTCTTAGGCATTGTTAGAAGGACTAATAAAATGGCCAACTGCTGAGAATCATTGTTCTATAATCCATATAATCACAATGATTAAAAAAGATTCACTTCAGTTTACATGTGTAGGAAGATAATATGTGAACACCTGTGAATCAGGACATTCCTTAATAGTTTGTTTTTATTATTTATTATTGACTTTATTTCAATCCTTTACGTTTGTTTCACACTTCATTATGATTAGGATGCAATTAGGATTAGGATGCAGCTAGAACGGCATCCGCTACGTTAAACATATGCTGGATAAGTTGCCGGTTCATTCGTCTGTGGCAACCCCAGATTAATAAAGGGACTAAGCCGAAAAGAAAATGAATGAATGAATGAAGTTGGCAGTTCATTTCACTGTGGCGACCCCTGATGATTAAATGGCCAAAGACATGAGCTATAAGTAAATTTTATCAACTAAATTGACTGTAGTGTATGAATGTATTTGTGGATATGAGTGTGTATGAGTGTTTCCCAGTACTGGGTTGCGACAGAAAGGACATCCGCTGCATAAAACATATGCTAGAATAGTTGGCGGTTCATTCCGTTGTGGCAACCCCTGATGAATAAGCTGAAGGAAAATGAATGAATTATTGCTGATATAGTCTGGTGATGCTTTGTGTACATAGTAAATAATCATAAAACAATTGGGGTGTTAAGGTTACAGACGCACCTGCTCAATGAGCTTGCAAGACATGGTTTGTGTTTTTTGGAAGTCTGTCAAGGTTTCTCATTTCACTTCCACCTTTGAACACGACTTGTACTACAATTAGCTGAGTTTATGCCGAGTTCACACCGCATGATTTTAGCTGTGATTTTCACTCATTTGAAGACAAATGCACAAAGTGGCAAAGTGGTGCAATCATGCAGTGTGAATTATCAAAAATTGTCAAAATGTCACATTACTGACCTCAATGGCAATATGTGGTATAGCCCGTAGTAAGCACACACCTGACTTGTCATGGAAGTGAAGATATAGGAAAACCAAGCTGTACTGTATATACAGGATTTTTGCCACACAAAAGTGATCTTGTAGCTTCATATTACTGTTGAACTACTGAAATTACATGGAGTGTTTAGACCAGGGGTACACAAATTCCATCCTTGAGGGCCAGTATCCTGCAAAGTTTAGTTCCTAGCACTTTGAAATGGCACTTTAATATGGTGGCAATAATGTTTTTGGGTTATTTATGCCATTTTTAACGCACCATAAGTCTAGCATCTTTAACACAACCTTTACAGTCACCAGATCACAATAGTAGAGCACTTTTTGGATGTGATGAAACAGCAGATTAAACAATTGCATGATGCAATCATACCAAAATCTCTAAGAAATGTTTCTTGTATCTTGTTAAATATGAGAATAAGGGCAGTTCTTAAGGCAAATGGTGTCCAAGAGCAAGCTGTACAGTACCTAATAAATTGGCCCCTCAAACAAGACCTCCTCAAAGACCAAAAACATCAGAGAGAAACAGGTTAACAGATCTCCATGTACCCCATTAAATCTATGTGTGGTGTCAGACTTTCTCTGTGCTTTTTTAACATGGCTGTGTTTCATGTGAACATGCCAATCACTTTCAGTTAGAGAGCGGTCTGGATGCAGACCTGGTGCAGTGCAATCTGAGTTGCATCCAATACTTCTTAATGCACTCACCTAACCCCACCCCTAACCCTACCCGTCACAGTGACATCACTCACTCCAATAAATGCATTGTGTCTGAGATTGCATAGTTGATTGATGCAATCTCAGCTTGCATCATAAAGGCTGCATCCAGACACTATTGTTCAGTTCTGCGCCAAACCAGTCTGTCTGTGATCAGCTGGTCTCAGCTCACTTCAAACTAACTGTGCAGAAGTTATTTAAGCCAACACTGAATCTATGCCCACAGAAATCTGCAAATTTTTAGACCATCATTGAGCCTATTTATTTGTCTTAATCAAAGGTGTCCAAACTCCTGGAGGGCCTGTGTCCTGGAGAGTTTAGCTTTAACCCTAATATAACACACCTGAACCAGCTAATCAAGCTCTTACTAGATAAACTAGAAACTTTCTAGCAGGTGTGTTGAAGCAAGTTGGAGATAAACTCTGCAGGACACCGGCCCTCCAGGACTGAGTTTGGACACCTCAGGTCTAAATATACACTGACCCCCCAACCGCATGCAGACATGGTCAAGGCGATCTACTGCCGTTCAAACTGAGCATCAGAATAGGGAAGAAAGGTGATTTAAGTGACTTTAAACGTGGCATGGTTGCCACACGGGCTGAGTATTTCTGAAACTGCTGATCCATTGGGATTTTCACACACAACAATCTCTAGGATTTAAAGAGAATGGTGAAGAGAAAATATCAAGTGAGTGGCAGTTCTGTGTGCACAAATGCCTTGTTGATGTTAAAGGTCTGAGGAGAATGGCCACACTTGCAAATAATCACTTGTTTTTACCAAGGTATGGCGAAGAGCATCTCTGAACACACAACATGTCCAACCTTGAGGCAGATGGGCTACAGCAGGAGTAGACCACACACCGTCAGCTAAGAACAGGAAACTGTCGCTACAATTTGCACAAGCTCACCAAACATTCAGATGGTAGGGCCAGAATTTGCATGGATCCATCCTGCCTTGTATAAATGTTCAGGCTGGTGGTGGTGGTCCTACATCCAGAAGGATAATGTACCATGTCAAAAAGTGTGAATCATCACTGTACTCAAATGGCCTCCACAGTCACCAGAGCTCAATCCAATAGAGCACTTTTGGGATGTGGAGGAACGGGAGATTCACATCATGGATGTGCATCCAGCAAAACTGCAGCAACTGCGTTATGCTATGATGTCAATGTGGACCAAAATCTCTGAGGAATATTTTTCAGTATCTTGTTGAATCTGTGCCACAAAGGATTAAGGGTGTTCTGAAGGCAAAAGAGGGTCCAACCCGGTACTAGTAAGGTGTACCTAATAAAGTGGCCTGTGAGTGTATATCATATAAGTAATTTTATTAACTAAAATGCAAATGTTTAAATTGTTTATTCACGTTTTCTTTACAGAAATAGCAAAAAAGTTTCTCTCTGGCCCTGCATAAAAATATCTCTCAGAATAAATCATGGGCGTTCTAGGAATAAACAGAATGTGAAATTCGTAATTGCATGTTGTTAGAAAAGACACATTTTAAAACAGCTCTCCAAAACACAACAGAGGAGCCAAAAAAGAAGTCTTCAGGGAAATAGAGTTGGTCTCTATGCATTTTAACAGATGACTGATATGAAAATAAACTAATAAGATGAGTTTAACTGCACTTGACAAATTTTGGCTAAAATCTTCGGCTTAATCTATATTTCAGAGGTTGCCACAGCGGAATGAACATACAACTATTCCAGCATATGTTTTATGCAGCAAATGTCCTTCCAGCCGCAACCCAGTACTGGGAAGCACCCATACACACTCATTCACATATACTCACACCATGGCCAATTGAGTTAATTCAATTCACCTATAGCACATGTCTTTGGACCATCACGGAAACCGAAGCACCCAGACATAACCCATATGAACACAGGGAGAACATGCAAACTCCACACAGAAATGCCAACTGGTCTAGCCAGAACTCAAACTCGTGGCCTTCTTGCTAACCACTGAGCCCCCATACCACCCCACATGTTGGTCCATTTAAAACAATAATTGGCTTGTGACAGCGAACCTAGTTAAAATACTGTAACCATTTTAAGCCCAGTTTCAGAACAAACCAAGAGATCAACAGCTGTGAAAACTACCGGTCAATAATAACCATTACCTGCTGATATTAACATACCATAACTGTCATGTGGAGCTGATGAAGGTCCCACAACTAATTTGGCAGGCACATGCTGATGACAGACCGTCTGTGGGTGACTAGGCTTAAGTTTCAGGCCTGTTTTGTGACTGTAAAGCGATACGCTCTCCTCCCATTCTACTTTCCTGCACACTAAACGTGTGTCGATGCATGTTTTTCCACAGAACTAAATGCAAGTATTCTGAACTAAAGGCCCCTGTGTCTGTTACATTTTTGTCATCTTTGCAAAGGAGCAGTAAAAACATTAAATGCTGACTGGGAAAATAAGTAAGAGAGAATAACAGCAGTTAACAATAAGAGTTGTGAAAGTGGACTAATTTATAAAACACCTGCGTAACAACATTCAATCCTCCTCCTCCCACAATCACCTGGGCTTTCTTTTTTCTTAGAAGGGTGAATGTGCAGTGTGTGTGTGAAGGCAATAGGTTCAAAGCGACAGGCGGTACTTAAATATTAAAGGCTGTAGGAAAGCACACTATTGTTTGCCCTCCATTTCAGAACAGCAGTCGTGGTTGGTTGGTTGGTCGCTCGGTTGTTTTGAGACAGAGAGAGAGAGAGCACAAACGGCAACAAAGACAGAGTCAGTGGCTGCTGGGAACCACGAAGAGAAGTTCAGGGAAAGCAACAGAGGGTGCACTCGACTGTTAAACTGCCTTACAGAGCACGTGAAGCATGGAGAAACCAAGACAGAGTCGGCTGTAAAATGGTTACAGAAGTTGGACCTTTGGTACATTAAACATGGATGGGACTGTGAGTGGAACAACAGATCCTCAGGAGAACCGGAGTGTAAAAGACGAGGACAGGTAGACCTTCTGCACAGAACATTTCTATTTTTTTTTTTTTTTACCTTAATGAATTTGCTTATATGACATTAAAAGGCTTGCATTTTTGCTTAATTTAAATTAATAATTTCATTCACTGCATAAACAAAATTCTGACTTGTGTTTTTGTCTTGTTTCGAGTCCAAATATCTACATGTTCTTGAAGCAAGATGCGTTTTCTAGACTAGTAAGGATAACGTTGTTTTCAGAAATAAGTCAGCACAATTAAATGAGTTTTTCCTTAAGACAAGCTCAATTCTGCCTGTACATTGAGTTAACTTACCCCACTGACACATTAGCATGTTTTAAGAAAAAAAACTTATTTAATTTTAACGTCTTATTTCTGAAAACAGAACAATTTTATTCTTGTCTAGAAAAATGTTTCTCGATTTAAGAATTTTAAGATATTTGGACTTGAAACAACCCCAAAACTCTAGGCAAGAAACATTCTTATAATAGTTCTGAGTATTATCCTTGTGTTTATTATCATTTTTAATATTTAAATATATAGCTAATGATGAATTAAATGATTGAATGAATATGTGCTCTCAGCATAAACAATCCCTTTTAGAAGTCATGCATATGTAAAAACAAAAAGTATCATATTTTTGTCATAATAAGGTGATAGAGCTTACTGAGTGATCATGCTTATATTTAGTGTTTGTCTGGAAATGAACATTTGCAGATTAAAAGAATCTGTGCAGATCTTTTACCAAAACTTGTGTATACAAATTTCATTGCTGCCAGCCGCTAAAAGTAAACAGATCCACAGAGCTCAGCTTACACACGCTTTAGCGGCTTGTCTATCTGGAAGAGTGAAGACTTGTCTAAAAAAAGTGATATTTAGGCAGTTTTGTGGCATTTTGTTTTAACCAATTGGTGTTAAAGTCAGTTTATGTTGTTCCAGATCTGTATTTCGTTAGTCGTTGGAAAGAAATCTCTTAGAAAATATCTTAAATTGTGTTCTAAAAGAAATTTCGAAAAGTTTATTCTGCCAACCTCGAATGCTAATTCATATAGCACAGTTTAATCTAAGTCTTCTCAATAGATGATAGTTTTATATAATGAAACCAAACCCATTTGTTTATCTTTCAAGCACAGGAACACACATGACAACACAAATTTCAGTTCAACTGATTCTGTAAAGTGGATTTTTTTCATTAGTATAACATTTGCTGTAACCTTGATCCTTAGTCATTCATTAAATTCCAGTCCATTTTTATTTTCACACCTGTGACATCAAAGTGATGCTTGTGCCTGTAGCTTACAGGGTTTCTGCAGGTTTCACCAAGTCAAATTTAAGACCTTTAAGACCTTTAAGAGACCATGAGGAATTCAATTTCAGACTTCTATAGGGCTAAACACTAAGATTTTGTTTTAATGACACATGCAGCAGATAAAAGAAAATTAATTGCCCCATTAAAAAAAAAAACTAATCCTATTGCTTAGCCACATATTTTAAATGTGTCAAAACAAGCAGACCCTTAACATTTTTTCAACATAACTTAAAATAACTCTTTAAATTGAGTTAAATGTATGCATGACAGACTGTTACAATATTAGTAATGTTTATAGTTTTATTAAGATGTATTGTTGGTGCTTGGTTTAATTGGGTAGCTTTCGATAAACAAAGGAAAATTAAGACCCATTTAAAATGATTTAGAACCTACAAGACATTATTTCAGTGGATTTAAGACTTCAAGTCCTAAAATTTAGTTTTTGAAATTTTAAAGATTATTATTTTAACACCCTGACCATACACAGTAAAACCAAAAGGTCAACTTCATCAAATAAAATGTGTAGTTTACTCAACATTTACTGAAAGTTAATTCTACTCATTAGAAAAGAGTTTTGAAGTGTTGAAGGTGATGAGTTAATTAAATACCTCATTACTTCAACTTTATTGGAGAAGTTCACAGTACTCGTATAGATTTGATTTTTTTTTTTTTTACTCAAATGGTTTGTAGCAATTGGTTTCTTCAATCGGTTTGAGTTGCCTTAACTTATTGAGTTTTGCACTACTCGGTTGGTTTGAGTTCTCTTCATTTATTGGGTTTTACTGTGCTCTAATTGCTTTGTTTACTGAAATAAATAAAGTTCACGGTACTCATTAGCATTAGTTTTTCAACTTAAATGGTTTGTTGCAATCGGTTTCCTCAAATTAGTCTTTTGGGTTTTACAGTGTAGATGCTCCTGTATGATCCTAATTTTTTAAATCCAGATTTGCCAAGGTTGTGTATTTAAAGGCATAATACACTGTAAAAAAAACTGGGTCCCACACAATTCCTTTAAGTTGTCCCAATCCAAATCGATTAAGTTCACTTAAATGTTTTCATAAATGTAACTGGATTGAACATAAACAATTAAGTTGTCCCCAAAATCCTTAAGAATTGTGTTAATTAAACTCATTTTAAAGCAGCAAAATAAAATCACCTTCAAGAAATATACTCACTGTTTACCTTCAAACGGTTTTCAGACCTCTATAAGTTTCTTTATTGTGTTGAGTTCAAAAGAGGATATTTTGAAGAATGTTAGAAACCGGTAACAGTTTGCTTCTTTAGGGAAAAAAAACAAATACTATCGAGTTTAATGGTTACTTGTTTCCAACATTTTTCAGAATGTATATATTTGTTTGTGTTCTACAGAAGAAACTCAACCAAACAAACTCATCCTTTCACTTTATAAGATCTCATTGGCCAGTCGATCTTGTTTTGCTTGTATGTTTTTTTGTTTTTGACTCAATGTGCAATTAGCAATTGACTTGAGAGTTTTTTCAGTTCAAGTATTTCAATTTCAGCAGAAATATATAAAATATTTTAATTTTCTAATGAAGAAAAAAGGCTCCTACATCTTTTATCACCTCAGGGTAGAGTAAATTAACAGCTACTTTATTTATTTATTTTTTTTTAATAATCAAAATTACATTTATTGTAGTTCAATCACACTAAATATCTTGATCATCTTGAGCTACTTTTGTAGGATTTCGGTTAAGGATGGACCTGTGTCTGCGACTCCGGTTGAAGGGGATGTGGATGCAGACGCCGGGGCGCAGAACTCCCGGGACAGCCGTAAACTGGACTGCATCGTCTGCTACAGTGCATATAATCTGGGAGAACGACTACCACGGAAGCTCTACTGCGGACACACGTTCTGCCAGGCCTGTCTGAAGCGCCTTGACACACTCATCAATGAGCAGGTGCCAGTAGAGCATCACATTCACCAATTGTTTATTACGGAGCGCAAATACAATGATGGTTTTTGCAGGAAATATTACTGATAACAAGTGTTATACACAGTCTTCAGGGTGTGATGAATAGTAAAAATGCATATACACTACCTGACAAAAGTCTTGTCGTGGATCCCAGTTGTAAAAGCAACAAATAATAACTTGGCCCTTTAGTTGATCAAATTTAAAAGTGGCAGACAGTAGATTTTTACAATAAATCATCTGTTGAACTGCATCTCAATCTTCACAAATACTGCAAAAGACCTATTGGGATCCGCATGGACCCAAGATTCTCACAGAAATCAGTCAAGTTTGGTGAAGGAAAAATCATGGTTTGGGGTTAAAATCAGTATGGGGATGTACGAGAGATCTGCGAATATCAACAACTTGAGGTATCAAGACATTTGTGCTGCCCATTCCATTACAAAACACAGGAGTGGGCAAATTCTTCAGCAGGATAGTGCTTTTCATACTTTAGACTCCACATCAAAGTTCCTGTAAGCAAAGAAGGTCAGGGTGCTCCAGGACTGGCGAGCCCAGTCACCAGACATGAACATTATTAATCATGTCTTGGGTAAGATGGAGGAGGCATTGAAAACGAATCCAAAGAGTCTTGATGAACTTTGGGAGTCCTGCAAGAACACTTTCTTTGCCATTCCAGATGACTTTATTAAGAAGATATTGGAGTCATTGCAGAAATGTATGGATTCAGTCCTTCAAGCTCATGAGAGTCATATACATTATTAATTCTTTTCCCACTTCACCATGACTTTATATTCTATACTGTACATTATTTCTGTTAAGTGACGAGACTTTTGTCTATGCAAAGTCAGACCTTACTGTCCTAATTAAATCATTAAAAATCGAGACATGATCATATTATATTTTGGTAAAATAAGCGCAATCTAGAGGCCTTTGCCTTTCATATAAGCCACTTCCGATACCAAATGGTCAACTAGAAGTCAAGTTATTATTGGTTGTTTCTAAAACTTGGATAGGTGACAAGACTTTTGTCAGGTAGCGTACATGGCATGTGGTTTCTTCAGCAATATGTCCAAAAAAAAGCTGAACATTTATTAATAGCATTAAAGGTGAAGGGTGCAATAGCTATATTGCACCCTTTTATTCTACACATTTTAATGTACAGATGTCTAATTTCATTGACACTTATAATTTTGTATAATTGATTAGAAATGTTGTTTTCAAATAAAGTTATGCAAGTTCACGTAACCAATATATCATTAACAATATAAAATTTTATTTTAATTAGTTTATTTTATTAAGTTTTATTTTTATTTATCGAGTGATGGACAGTTGAAGTCAAAATTATCAGCCATCTTGTGAAATTACATAATGTTAAACAGAGACTCTCAACACATTTTTTTAAACAGAAATGTTAATGAGATGAAACTTGATGACATGATAGTAAATATTATTTGTATAAGACTCGAGTATTCAGTTTAAAATGCCATTTAAATGCCTAACTAGGTTAATTAGGTTAACTGGGCAGGCTAGGTCAATTAAGCAAGTCGTGGAACAACACTGTCTTGTTCTGTAGCCAGTCGGGGGGAAAAAAATCTTTTTTAAGGGGGCAAATAATATTGACTTTAATTTAAAAGAAATATTAATTAAAAACTGCTTTTATTTCAGCCAAACTTAAAGAAACAACTATTTTTCCACATGGAAAATGCTTTGTCAGATGCCTTGTTAAAAATCTCTTGGGTAATAAGTGAACATTTTCCAATAGAGGGCTAGTCAATTTTTCAAACTGCATGTTATAAATATTGTACACCCCTCATGCCTACACAGCAATTCTGATATTTCCTAGACCTAGCTATACTGTATACCCCTCAGCTGACGTATCTTGCCTTCCCATCACAGATGTGGATCCCGTGTCCGCAGTGCAGACAGAACACTCCTGTGCCTCGTGGAGGAGCCACCGCACTAGATCTAGACCTGGCTGCGTTTCTGGGTGTCAAAGCTGAAGTAGAAAACCAGCGAGCCTACAGCCAGAAAACACAGCTGGAGACCAAGAGCTCCTTCAAAAAGCAGCCAATCACAGATCAGCCTCCTTCAGCCTGGGCCAATGTGGCTCTGACGGAGCGTCGCTTCCCCAGGAGCCCCTGCTGCAAACACTGCCTGCTCTGCTGCTGGTGGTGCTGAAAGCATAGATACCATTGCAGAGTTACCGGAGATAAGATAATCAGTTTGATCTGGGAACTCGGATGGATCAGTAACCGGACAAATTCTGCAAGAGCCAGTGTTCAAATTGGAAGTATGATGGATAACCGGACTGACTGGATTTTAGATCTAATAAACCATTTGATGGAAAAACACTCTTGTTAGAACACAAACCCAAACTTTAGGAAACGTTTCACTGATTGAACTTGTGCTTTAATTAATTCAATCATCTTTCGGTTCAAAGGTTGAACTTAAAAACTGAAGTGGAAAAAAATAAAACCGCATTACAAAAATGACAAACGCCCTGTACATCAAGACCAAACATCTCATTCTGACATCCAGAGTTTAAAGGTTCGGTCATAAGAACAGGTTGCGATGAGCTGTCCGTCAGGTGAAAGGTCAACCCCCATCACCTTCCCCTCATGTCCTGCCAGGGTCTTCAGCGGGGACCAGCCAGGATGAGTCCAGATTTTAGCCGTGTTGTCATACGCACCAGTCAGCAAATAATGCCCATCATTAGCTAAAAGAAGAGGAGATTGTTAATGCTGACACTGCACAAATGCTAATTACTAGTTCAACAGAGGTGAAGAAAGGGTGTTTACACAACAGCAATGTACTAAATAACACGGTTTTCAGTTTGCTCGGCATAAAGTTGACACCTTTGTCAAAATTCACATGGATCAAAGAAAACAGTTTTATTACGTACACCAGGCCTCTTTGTAAACAAACACACCTGGTCCTGTTATGCACCTACATTTGCAGTCTCTGTTCAGACTAGAGGTATGCACACAATGTCAGTTGTATTCTTGTGATTATACTATAAATTTCAAAGATGCACTTCAAGGTTACAGTTTTTGGCCCCCAAATTGAACTAAAGCCTAGTTCACACTAGGCATGGGCCGGTATAATATTCTGACAGATTGATAACCTTGGATAAAAATATCACGGATCCATGGTATTGTGATCACTGCTCTAAAATATATTCTTTTCTTAATGTCTGAGTAAAAAACAAGACCTTTTGAGAAACATTTAAAATATTTTGGAGCAGTAAACATGTCAGGCAAAATAATTCAAATGAGTCATAGACTGCTGCTGTCTTTATTAGTTTCAAAAACTGATATTTTTTTTTACAATTTAAAACGACATCTTTGGATATATTTTCTGCTGGAGATACTGTTGTTCTACAAAAAAATCTTACACATACCTTGGGAATGGTATTGCAGACAATTGACAGTTTTAAAACCTTGACTTTTTTCATCTGCAGTATACCCTGAAAACGTTTATCGTCCCATGCCTAGTTCACACTGCATGACTTCAAACATCGGCAGATAGCTGTGCTGTTTACACTACACGACTTGATTTTGGGTCTTTAAATCGTTGTGATGTTCACACTACACGACACTACGTAATGATCCACAAGACAGGAGTCACACACTAGATGATCTGACAGCAACTCGTTCCCCATTAGCTCAGTCCAACTACCAAACCAGTCAATACATTTTTGAGGGAGGAGCCGTCAGAAAAAGCTGAACACTATTGGCTGCTTGTGTGCTGATGACATCACTGACAGAGTTTCAAGCTTTGAATGGAGCATTTAAAAACATCTTCAATCAGCTGATGCATCAGTGAATCAATCGATTTAACACTAGACCTACAAAAACAGTCAGAGTTTAAAATTTTTTGTAATTAGATTACTTTTTGAAATACAACGGACATCTATAACACCCTGACGTTTCCAAAATATCTGTGTATTTCTTTCTAGTTATTTTATTTAATTACAAAACAGAAAAGAACTGAGCATTTCTACCTTTAATCACCATATCGGTCAAAATGACTGCATGCATGTTTGCTACTTTTCGCTGTGACTTTAAACATGTGTGCCTTGCAACTTCCTGCTAATATAAACACAACTTTCTGATAGCAAAAACAGAAATTTACTTCAGATATAACTTTCAAAACAGCATATTCTGTGTAAAATAGCTCCTGTTTGAAAATAAAAGCGAGGCCCAAACCTTTTTGGGTGTTTTACTGTTTTAACTACATATTTATAGGCTGTATTACCAAAAAGATCATATTTTTAGGGTAGTGGTGTCATGAAATATGACAGACATTTAAAGCTTAATTTTAATATTTCAATAGAAGCTTTGAATGGAAAATAATGTCTTATTTGAGAACGGTCAGATGAGCAGTATGGTAATTCTAATATATGTAGATTTCTAGTTCCTTTGTTAATATAGCCTACTCTCATATCAGTGTTAACACCGAATGAAACGAGTGCATCTATGCCCACTCTGGCCAATCACAGACGTTTCTATTAGCTCCCGAGCACAATGGCCATTCAGCGCATGCTGATGCCTGATGTGCTCTCTCGTTGGCTGCAGCTCATCACTACATCTGACCACATATGGGGTCGAGTGGGCCGACTGCTCTGGAATATTCAGCATGCTAGATATTGGATTTTCATCTGCGAGGTTTCAGCAACGCAACAGCGAGCCTTTTTGATGCGTTGTTCAGTAGTTTACGCATAAAGCCTGCCTCGCTCCCCCAGATTTTTCCCCAATCACAGCCTGATCTGTCAGCGAGCTTGGTAACTTCGGGCTCAAACCAGCCTTAAAATCTTAAAATCACCCAAGAATAAAAAATTCTGACATTATTTATATTTCCAAGCCTGAGTTTCTTTCTTCTGTTGAACACAAAATACAGTTTGAAGGATGTTGAAACGCAGCAGTCATTGACTTCCTTCTAGTTTTGTTCCGAATATGGATTTCAATGACTGCCGTTTCGTCAGAATATCTTGTTGTGTTCAACTGAAGTTTAAAACCAATTGAGTGTGAGGACTATTGGGTGAACCATCCCTCTAAATCACTGATGCACAAAACAAACATCCTGATTTGAATACTCACGTTGGAACTTGACAGAGGACACAAGGTTCTGATGGGCTGGGATTGTGTATATGCACCGTCTCTGGCGAAGGTCCCACACTTTACAGGCATTATCTCCACTTCCCGTTGCCACATGAAAGCTGCATAATGATGATTGCAGGGTTATGATCATTATAACAGTGAACGGCTTTGGTAAATAATCATACGGGGTTACATTAACTCACCCGTTTGGGGAAAAGTTGATGCTGTAAATCTCTTTGATGTGGCCCTCTAGGAACATGACACAGCGACCAGTGCGCAGGTCCCAGACACGTGCAAATGAATCCAAACCACTGTACATTAAGCAATAGAGCATTAAAGCAATAATCAAACATTCGATCCTTTGTGAAAAGTTTAATTCATCAAAAAAAGCTGTTTAAATAAACAACTTCATGAAGTGAAAATATATGTGGTTTAGGCTTTTCTTATACAAGACCATTGCTGCAAGTAGACAGACTGGGTTAAGTCAAGTTTTTAATTGAGTGTCTAATCATGATTATGAAAGTAGCTGAAGAGTTTATGCCTATTCTATTACAAAAACAGTGGAGCGCATCAGGGTTTAGTGTGAGGCCCTTACCCAGTTCCTGCCAAAGAGCCATCTGGGTGGAAGTGCAGATCATGGACGCCTTTACTGTGACCCTCCTGATGAAGAATTTCTTCTTGGACCTCAAGATCCCAAAGTCGCCATGAGTGATCATAGCTTAGAGAGAGGGGGAAAAAAGCTAATAAAACTATTTTACAACACAAACGTTTGATCAAAACATCTAATATTCATATTATTGTTCTGGTTCACATATTAAAGAGCCCCTAATATGAGTTTTTGAAAATGACCTTCCATGCAGCGTGTTACACAGCTCTAAGTGAGGCTGAGGTTAAAATCTAAAAGTGCAGCATGTTTAAAACTATTGATTCTTTAGCGAAATATTTGACTCAGTCAAATAAACGAATCAAGTTGGGTTTGGATATTTTGTTAGATCGCATCGACATCAATACAGTACATCACCAAATATGTACTTCCACTTCCGTTAAAATATGCATGCTCTCTCCCTCCACACACTAGTGGAGGCGCGGGGGATCGCAGGACTGACCATGATGTGAAGATGAATTTTTGATACAATAACCTACGCTGCATCTACCGTTTGCTATTGAAGGAGCAGCAGAGACTATGGGACTTTTTCAGCTCAAATGGACCAGTTTCTTCTTCCTTTGGATCCTAACATGTAAGTGGCATAAAAATTGTTGCCCCGTTTTGTGTAGTTTGCAAAATATGCGTTTAATTGTGTGTTATAAGTTGTAATCACCCGTGCTTGTACTGTATCTCTCAGGTTAAATCTGTATGGGGCTGTTTACATATCACGTAAAAAAAACGTGGTAAAAACGTGACACGTGCTTCTACCTTTACCAATTTTAAGTGAGTTTCTGAACTGGCGATCCTCTGCTATGCTTTGCTATGGCCACCATCAGCTGTTCCTCACACACGCAGCATGGTCAATTTTTTAAAATAGTTTAACTTTTACAACAATGTGGATTAATACTGAATACTGTGGATTAATACTGTGTGTCTTTGTTACTACTTGGGGTTTGGGTTAAGAGTAGAGCAATATGCTGGCCTTTAACTGCATTGATTTATTGAATTCCTGCATTGGGCTCCAACATACTCTCTGGCTGCTATTTCATAGCCATGGTGGGCTTTTCTCTCTGTCTCGTGCTAAAAGCAGTTGATCAATCACAACAAATTAGGTCATCGGACCAATCACTGCAGATTAGCTTTGCGCTACGGAGGGGTTTGGGAACTAATGAATCGTTGAATGATTCATATGGGAGTCGCTGGGATAATTAGGTAAAAAAAAAAATGCATATTATAAGACAATGAAAGTGTTTTTTGACCTTACATGCAGATCAGCGAGTTGCTGGAGACCCCCAAAACCAGAAAATTACATTTTTTAATGCAAAATAGGAGCTCTTTAAAACAAATTGACAAAATATAAATAGATTCATACCAAGTTGTGCCCAGAAACCGGCCAGAGGGATGCCAGGTCACCCGAGCCACCCTCATAGAGTGTCCCTCAATGTCTGCTATAGGTTCATCACTATTAAAAAAACAGGTGAATGTTACAGTTTTCCTTCAGATAACAGATTTACATAATCCTAAAAGATACACACCTGTCTAAACTCCACAGCTTAACAGATCCATCTGCAGCACAAGAGGCCATATTGACATCTGACTCCTCAAGTGTTAGTGTGGCTTGTGGGTGAAAGCTAATCGCTCCCACATTGGTATTGTGACCTGAAGAGGAAGGGTTCACCAACGATTAATACAACGCTACAAGCTGCTCCTCAAAAACTAGAACACAAACAGACAACTTGATGAATAAACATTACAGAATATATTTGCTGTATTTACCTCTTAATGTGCGTATAAGAGTACAATCGGGGACCTTCCACAATTTACACAAGCCCGACCTACAACAGAAATGTCTTATAAATACAAGTTCAGCTCTGTTTGTTTGGTGCAAAATGATACATTTAGCCATGTTTTAGCATTCACATTTCTATTCGTATTTTAATACTGAACCGAAGATATACAAAAAAAACCAACAACAGCAAGAAACATACAAAACAATGCTGTGTGCTGCATTGAGGTTTAATTAAGACTCATTTCTAATGCCAGTATTAAAATTAGGCAAACTATGCGAGGTAAAAGCTGCTTTATTATTATGTCCTTTTCATGGTGGCATTTTGTGTTTTATATCTGCGAGCAAACGCTTGCTCTGTGTTGGTTTTGAAGGTGAGGCGGAATCGCCCAAATCCAGGCATAGTAGATAAGTAAACATAACATAGCCGTCGTTTAGGCTGAAGTGACACCCTTTTTGTTATCTTGTTCCTGTATCTGTAAAAGCTAAAATGTCTTATTTTTACTTTCTGTATCTTTTTTAAAAAAATGAGGAAAATGTTGTCTAAAAGACAAACTTTTGTTTTCATAAATAAATGTTCATTTAAAAACGTTTAAGATTAACATATTATTTTACTATCAGAGATGCGCAGATTAGCTCACTGAATCTGCTGTTAATATCCTTGTTGACCTATCATCATGCCTAAAACAAAGAAATAAATTATTTAATTGAAGACTGGGTGCGAGTCGGGTCCAGATACATATATCAGGTAAAAGTATATGTGCAGGCGGGTGGATGATTAGTATGAAGCTGTGGATTCTGGTGTCATTTCAGCTAAACCGCACATCTCTATTAGACATATTTGGTCAGTGTTCTTTTAGATGTGCTGAAAAAGTTAATGTTGATCCACTAGTTTGGCACAGGACAGTGTTCAACGGGAAGCATTCAAGCCTTTTTAAATTAATTGCACCAATGGAGCAATAGTACTAGTTTGTTTTAATCAAACCAAACCTAAAAGTCTTTAAAAACAAATAACGTTTAGTTAATTAACAAAATGAAAAAAAAAATTTTCACATTTAAGTTGCTAGAATTTTTTTTTTTTAAACGTACATGTATAGGCAAGAGCAGGGCAAGGAAAATTCCCACAGTATTTCCAATACAAATTTTCCTTCTGAGAAAAAAAAATACTAACTATATTCTCTTTGTTCTGCTGTATTAAAGCAGCAATTAAGCATTTTTGAAGTCCTTATTTTTAGCCCCAAAATTTAGATAAATAATACAGAATTTTTATAATAATGTACTAAATTAAATACAAAACTGATATACAGCACATACCATGATGCCGTCACAAGCAGCTTTGAGTTGGGGCTAAACTGGCAGTAAGATATTGGACGGTCGTCTCCGATCTGGCTGCAGAAGTTATTTACATTCTAAATAAAACAAATTACATTTATAAAAACAAATTTATACACAGCAGTGACAAGACAAATATAGATTTTTTTTTTCATTTTTTTGACATGCTGTCGTACCCGCAAGTTCTTGTGAAGCTCTTGCTGTTTAATTGTTCGTGTAGATTCTGGAATTTCTTTTTGGGCTCTTGCTGCGTCTAAACGTTTCACAGCTCTGCAAAACAAAACAACAATTCCAAATTTTAAATTATTATAATAATATTTATACTGCTGATGGAAAACAGTTTCAGAGTTTACCTAGGCAGTGAATACTTGGCTAACCACAAACGCGCTTCCTTCAGAGATGTAGGTCCTTCATGGTACCATGTCTGTTGATACTGCACAAAATATGCATATACAATCACCTTACGTTTTTTATACAAATAAATTAGTCTATAATAAAGTGAAACATCTACTAAAGCAGATGCTCCTACCTCTTCATGAGTGCGTTTTGCTTTTTCATCCTCTTTCTTGGATTTCTTTAAGGCATCAGGACCAAGTACTGAAAGAACGTTTCTCAATCTGTGTAAAGAAGAAAACAAAGAAAACTAAGAATAATAATAATAAACACCTGAATTAAACTGAACTCTCTGTAATGGATATTAGCCTGAACAGATAAAACAGATTAAGTAGGTTTTGTCCTTTAATTTGGGACATTGATGGAATGTCCCAAATGATGGAAGATGATGGAATAGGGCAATTCAGTGAATAAATTGGAAATAGTTTAGTAAAAAGATGATGTCACTGATTTGGAAATTGTTGATGAATAAATCCAAAGTTCTGCTGTACACCTCTTCAGTGTGGTGTGGAGAAGTGGCAGTGATAAATCAGCCACAAAACTAAATACAATTTTGGTTTTTCTTAAATAAATGATGACAGAAATAAATTATTTTTGTAGTTGAATGTACTTCTCAAAGCAGCAATCCTAATAATAACTATTTTAAAGAAATGCTTACTTTTTTAAAGCAGGTATTAATTTTAACAGAAATAAAATGGAACGTTAGAAGAAAAAAAAGTAAAACCTATTTCATTGGTTAGCTAAAAGTCAAAAAGTGTTCTATATTAAACTTTTTAAATAAAAACAAATCAAAATTTCAATTAACTTTGCTTTTTGGTTACTAAAATATGTTTATTAAAAAAAACATTAGGAAAAATAGAATTTAGTAAAAACTTAAACGGATTTCATAAAGACTACATAGTGTAACGGTACACTGGAGTCAAGGTTCAGTATGTCCCTTGGTTTTTGGGGGTAGGAGTGTATGTTACAACAAAAAGTAATAACAAATTTCCAGTTTGTGTCTTTTCTGTTTATTTTAAACAGGCAGAAGTATTTGGCATAAACAGCTACAGAACTGAAGAGCTTCTTGTGATGCAAAAGTACAAAATAAATGTATTTTTAGAATTAGTATAAGTATAAACCTTTATAATTAGGAAACTAATAAGAAATGTATAATTTACAAATCAAATTCAGGAAAAACAATAATTATGTATTAAAGGTAAGATTCAGTAAACTTCAAAAGTGAAATCTCGTTTAAGGAAAATGCAGCACTGTGTACATCCATAAAGCAGTTACAGATGTTCAATACTATGTGTGTATAGAGAAGTCACGCATTACTTAAAGACTGACTTACAAGCTCACATGATGAGACTGTATCTTATATTTTCATTGTTTACGGACATAAGTGACCGTATTAGTGGAGTTTTTTTGCAGCATCGGCTGCTTTGAAGCAGTGTGACGATAAAACGAATTTGAGTTACCCGAGGTAGCGCTTATTTGTCACACATGCTGTCAGATTTAGAGCAGTGGACCAATCAGAAGAACTTTAGTGAGTGCTAATGTGTCGTGTTTTTAAACACTAAGATGCATTCTTTGTGAATGTCTTGCTCAGTTGTTGCACTGCCTTAACAGTCACTGCACATCTGGACTGAATGTATTCGTCAAGGGAGCATGGGAACAGAACAGTGACCATTGTATTGGGGTAGTTCAGGATGAATACATGTACTGATACACCCCTCAGTGTTTCCTCTAGGATTTTCTCTAGCTGTGGTGGCAGGCCTTTTACACTGATTTTCCAACTACCTATGGCGTTATTTCAATGACAAATATCGTAAGCCCAGTATTTCAAGTTCAGATCGCATTAATGTAATACGAGCATGCAAATCTCTTTGCTTGGTCGCAGATATGCTGTTTGTGCACAAAAACTTCTTGCACACCCTCAAATATATGCTGCTCAAGCACAGATTTTCTTGTGCACTCTCAAATAAACCCTGTTGAAGTGCGATTTAGTGCGTTTATGTAACAAGTATCTCCAACATTTACTAGATCTGCTAGGAATATTTATGAAAGTCTCCAACAGACCTACAGAGCAGCATTAATGCGTCCTAAAGTAAGGTGAAACAGCCATAAACTTCAGCAAGATAAAGTCATTGTATGCAGAACCACAGACCTTTTTCTAGAAGTATAATTATGGAAACTGTGCTCCTTATAACTGAAAATGAAAGCTACATCATGTTTGCTAACCTCACGCAGCCCTGCCAGTCAGCCAGCATGTAAGCTAACCTTAAAGGTTTAAACAAATAACGCACAGCACTACTACAACTACAGAAAAGTTTGCTCTGTTATAATTCACTTACATTGTAATTAGTTTTGGTGCGATGACTGCTTTTTCCCTAACATTCTTAAGACAATCTTGTTTTATGTTCAGCAGAAAAATGAAATAAAAAAGGAAATAGTGAAAAAAAAATTACTTTTGCACTTATTGTGCAACTACCCCTTTAAATTAGCAGTTTTTAAATCCAGAACAAAATGCAATGCTTTTACAGCCACTGACCTCTCTCGTCTCTCTGCAGGCCCCTCCCCGAACAATGTGATTGGTTCTCCAAGTGCACGAAGGCAGGCCTTCACCTCTACATCATCAGTAGAGACGGTGATCTGTCTGGCTCTCTTCCTGCGCTCAAACTCTGCCAGCACTTCAGCCTGTCTCTCGCTCACACGCTCCTCCATCTCCATGGACTCACCTGACGATAGAAACATCACATGATTAGAAAGCAAAGTAAAAGTTGTGAATTTTAAATGAAAATGACATTTTGATAACAGACCACATTGTTAAAACTGCATTTGAGATGATGTGCAATTAAACTACTCATCTAGTTAGTTCAGTTAACCATTTTTTGTGCGCCCATTATTTCACTATTTGTTTTCATGTTTTATTACTACATAAAAACAAAACGATTTCCACAAAACATTTTTTAAATGTTTTTTATTGTCTTTGTGTATACATTAAGTGTTTTATGCACTATCCCTAAATACATACAAAAATAATAGAGGATGAAAATTGCTATGACTGATGTGATTAAGTTTTTGTATATAAATCTATCTATCTATCTATCTATCTATCTACATACATACATACATACATACATACATACATACATATACATATATATATATATATATAGCTAAATAACAAACAATAATTCTTTTTGATAATTACATTTTTTTTTTATATTTCACAAGTGGCGCTAAAGAAAGAAAAGATTTATTTCTATTTTTTATCAAGGGAATGCTAATAATAATGACCTTAAAAATTGTTGCACTATTTATTAAAACGTTTCATTTTATTCAAAAACAATTTAAAACTATATTATAGGAAATACTGTAAAATTACCTGGGGAAATTTTGAAAAAGCATAATTTATCTGGAGGGTCATTAATTTAGAAACTGTATGTAAGATGGTATAATTACAATATCATACTCAACGGAGGGAAAAATATTTTGAGGACCAAAATGAGCAAAAATATTCAGTTTAGTACTGATGATGTTATTTATATGGCCAAAGAGTAAGATGTTTTGAAACTCTGCTGAATCTATTACATATTTATAATACAGCAGACTACTTCCATAAGAAGCACAGATATCAGCTGTCACACTATCTCCAAATGACTGAAAGTGATATTTAAATGCTTAGTTTTATAAGCCAAGATCTGTAGTTTTTCTTAAAGAGGCAAACTTTAAGCTGCAATGAGGTGTAGTACAAATAACCCTCACAAACATCTTATTATGCATCACATTTAAAACTCATGTTTCGAGAAATGTAACTTATTTAAAATTACGTGATAATAAATATATTGAAAAGTCCAGTAACTGTTTATCTTTAAATTGAACAATATAGAGATTATTCTGGAGTTTACTTTATAACAATCAATAAAGAGTTGAATGCAAAGAAATGCAGATTTATGCGGATAATAAATATATGAAAAAGTCCAGTTCATCTTTAAATTAAACAATGCACAGGTCAGTCTGGTGTTTCCTTAATAACAATCAATAAAAAATACAGCAAAAAGATCCAAATGTCCCGAAGATGCGCTAATTGAAACATCCGAGCTTAAAAATATCAAGTTTACCACTGGAGATATTAATATGTCCAGCCTCAATGCCAGCTTTAACGGCATCTTTGGCAGTGGTGGATGTCCCTTCACGGCTGAGACGCTCCTTCTCCTTTTCCTCAAGGCTTCCATAGAAGATCCTGGACCTTTTCACAACTGGAGCTTCATCTTCATCTGACATCTTTCCTGATATTTGTCCAACAACACCTAATCCAAAAAAAAAGGCATTAACATCAGAGACCAATAGTGTAAGTGACATCTAATGTAAATATCTATGTAAGTTATGAAAGCCCCAGCATGCATGTTACATCCGCAAAGTTACTTCACTGTACCACAGTATTATTATTTTGCAGGGTGTTCAAAAAAATAAGACTAATTTTACCGAAACCAAGACAAACTCATAAAAGATAAACATTAACTCTTCACTAATCCCTTACCCTTTACCAAACAAACGAAGCTTCCTTTAAAAGCAGCTTGTTTTGTAAGATAGTGCTGTGATAAAATCCACAAACACGACCACACGACGCGGGCTACTCGGCGCACAGTATGTCGTCATATCCGCCTTCTTGACTTTTACCGTCATGGAAATAAATAGTGACTTCTAGCGGTCGGAATTATGTCACAGAGTTGTTGCTTTTTGCATTATAACCCTGATTATAACACAATTTCAATAAGGCAAAAATCGAATAACAACTATCATCTACATATTTAGAACAGAGATCAAATAAAAAATCTATAAAATATAAATACAAATGATACTCTTAAACCATAGAACAATCACAACTAAAAGAAAGAAAGAAGAAAAAAACATGTACACCGTGTCTTGTATTATTTAGATTTTTTTCCAATAAACTAAACAATCTTCTTCCACATTTTGATTTTATCAACTTTAAAGATTTACAGTATAGCCAAATATCATTTTGGAAAACTAAAAATAGTGTTTATTTTTAAGGCACTTGCATTTATGAATATAACATTTCCCCCAAATTAGAATTGTTCAATACAAATTGAAAATCAACATCTTTCCCTAATAAACCAAGAAAAATATAATTTTTAGAAAAGGAATTATATCAGAAAGTGAGTGGCTACATCTAAAGTTACCTCGGACCAGACGGAAACTGCAGACGTTTTTTTCCTATTTCTGCGGAGAATTTTTTAAAAATCTGCGGATTTATGCAGAATGTTTTTGTGAGCATCATAACTAAAGATTTATTATATATAATAAAAAGTAATATATTTTAACTTGTATTTAATGTTTACAATGCACATTCATTTAGATACACTTTGTTTTGTAAAGAAAGCAAGTCTTGTATATAATAAATCTACTAAAAGACAGAAAATATTACTTTACAAACTATATTGTAAATAAATAATATAAATATGTTTTATATTAGTCAATAATATTACTGAAATTAACTTAGAAACAGATTAAATATAAATTTATGATGGGCAAAAATATCTGTGGAAATTCTGTGTGCACAGATTTCGTATGGGCCTAGTTATACCCAATTTCTGTAGTGCATTATTAATCAGTGTTTTTGAGTCCAAAGTCTCAAAATATTCGAATGCAAGTCCTAAAAGCTCCGTGTACGTTTTCGTTTACGTTGCTCACGAGAAAACGAAAAAACGAGATTTTGGCTGGATTTTCGTTTTTTGGTTTAGGGTAGGAAAACGGATAAACGACTTTAAAATTCATTTTACACATGTAGGCGGTGCTGAAACGCCCACTTTCCTCTAATTGGTCAACCAAATCTGCGCTCGTGACGTCACCTTCAAAATAAAAGCCTTACACGCAGGCTTTTAATTGTTATTATTTAATTATATATTAACTAAGTTTACATATTCTATCATTTGAACCACACACAGTTAGCAGGCTTACATTCATTGCGTATGTATAAATTAAATAAAAACATAAAGCAGTATTCTTAGACATTTGTCATTAAAATAAGGTCATAGTTCACTGCTAAGCTTCTTGCTGCTGTGCACCTGATGCAGAGCAAAGAAAGCCATTTCCGAGGAGCACCTGGTTTTCAGAGCAAGGGCTTTATAATAATAATAATAATAATAATAATAATAATAATAATAATAATAATAATAATAATAAATTATTATTATTATTATTATTATTAATATCAGTTACTAGTGTTTTTATTGTTTGGTGTGTGTTTTTTTTTTTAATAGTTGTTAGCAGAACCAGAATAAGAACACGTTGGGCCCTGCTATAAAAACAAAGGGTACCATTTGTTTTCATTTATTTCTTCCTATTTTAATTATATATTGTAATTATTTTTTTGATAATTAATGCTATTTTATTGCAACGCCAAAGTAGGCCTGTCTTATTATTTTTTTTATTATTAAATTTGCTGTTATTGTAGGCTAGATGGCAGGCTTTAAATATTTTAAATAACATTTACTCATAACCTTACTAATTCGAGAGCCGAACCTAAAAAAGTTTAAGTGCAATAAGCCTGTACAATAAAGGGAGCCGCAATGCAAATTTCTAGCGCATTCTTTCACTCAACAATTATTGCTCTTCTTGAGAAAGTGCTACAGCGGGCCCTGCTATTTCACATATAAGGTTAGTGATACGTATTTTAAATTAGTATTGCACATTATTCATTCATTTTCTTGTCGGCTTAGTCCCTTTATTAATCTGGGGTCGCCACAGCGGAATGAACCGCCAACTTATTTAGCAAGTTTTTACGCAGCGGATGCCCTTCCAGCCACAATGGTGGATGGTGGTGTTAAACCCGTACTCTTTTTCGAAAGATATTCTGGGATTTTAGGGTATATGCTGAAGCATGCTAATAGGACATTTAATTTGTCAGTAACCTGGGTTAAGCACTTCCAGCAAACTGCCAAAGGGAAAATCAGCATGTTTAAGGTCTGTTTTCTTTAAAAAATCAGCGATTTCCACTGGCTGAGTGATATCCGATATAAAGTGGGTCTCAGATTGTACAAGAAGCACTGCATTAAATTACATTTCCCTCGCCATGTCTTTATAATATGAACATTTATTTTACCTTATTGTATTCAATGGAGCGTCTGCGCTAGTCTGCCGATTCTGACGGGCGAGTGCGAGTAAAGGGTCTTTTGTCTCGTTTTACGCTTGAAAAACTAAATGAATGCCAAAGTTTATTTAACTGAATGTATTTTAATTGCATCACAACATCAATGCTGTAAAAGGAACCGTATAAAATGGAAAAAAAACTCACAACAACCGGTCACCGGAAGTTTATAAGTATGGGAACAACACTAGCTCGGCATATATCCAATTATATTCATCTGTCTCGATATTCTACTGCATCTCAGAATATTACAGAGCACCAAAAATGTAAAAATATATATTTATTATATTTAAGATATTTTTGTCAACAGCAGACGGCAACTAGCCGTGACGCAAATTCCCGGGTCTCTGTGCTCCAATCAGGTGAGCCCTCCTCAGCGCTCGCCATGACAACGAGACAACAGTGACGTGCCTTGTAAAAATTTGCATATGCATTCCTATAAAGCTCGTGTGCTCTCAGTCAGCGTTGTCAGTTCGCCCGGTGTAGCTGTTTGTACTTGACCAAGGTGAGTTCAATACCGACGGTACGAGTGGAGCTACGCCAAACTCACGAAGTCCGCTTCGTGATGCTTCACCCGGGCCCGTCTGTGCTGTAGTTCCTTGCGGTTTGCGTACATAAACGCAATATCGCGAAGAATATTACGTGTTTGTTGCTCGAAATGTGCCGCCGAGCAACATCCAGTGAATACTGGCACGGCCTGGCGCCCGGTCTTTCCGTGCACTCCCTGGGGCGAGGCGGCCTTTGAGCCCTAGGCAGGGAACAAACAACCCCCGAGGACCCTCAGGGAAACACGGGCGGCCGGTAGTGGGACCTCGCTGCGAGGGTTATGGTGGGTGGGAGTAGCGAGGCCCACTCATCTTCTATTTTAAACTATAGTTTCAAACTTTAGTTTACTATAGTTTGAAATAGAAACCATGATAACTGTTATGATTGAACTTTATGCAAAGAGCCTAGGATGACCAAGAGCAACAGATTCGGCCATTTTGAAGTGAAAGCGATCGCTCGTGCATTGGATATCATTGCTGTCGCAATGGCAAACAGCGGCTTTGTTTTTATTTAATTTATTCAAAAAGCGCGTTATTGTTTCCCAAATTGCACTAGAGTATCGCCTCTTGGTGATTCTATGCTCTCTGCTCTTTGTCTGAATGTTGTAATGTTTTGCTTTGTTTTTCAGATGAGTTGTTGAGCAAAGAAGGACTATTGAAGACAACAGTTGAAGACGACCGCGGGTCATCTCCACGAGCGCGCGCATCATAATGTTTTCGGTTTGTTTTCTGAGAGTTTGTCTTGTTTAGATAAGTTTGCAGGTCAAACTAAATAAACTATACTCTTCCTAAACACCTGTCTCGTGTTTTATTTGTCTTCTACAGCAATACACTGTCATTTAAGTCTGTTGAATGCATTTGTATGCAACATGGTTTGATAATACAGTAGTCTACAAATAAATAGTTGTTATAAATTTACCTTCAATAGTCAACATTTAATGTAGGTAATCAAAAGTTAATCATATTTGTTCTAAGACATAAGAGTAATGTTATGGTTGTTGGATACCTGTATTTATTATTATGCTGTATGTTTAAAACCAGCAGATTTACTATATATGTAACATGTCATGAACTTACTGTTATTCAAAAAATTGCTTAAAATATCTTAAGACAAGAATGGGTGTTGTCATTGGTTTTATGTCAACCTACTGTAGGTTTTAGGGTGAATACAGCAGATATAGGCAACCTATATCATAATATTGGTAGTATGAGTTATTTAATGACCCAAATCAAGTAAAACGTCTCTTCCTCAAGCATGCAAAAGTCAAATGTAGATATATATAAAACAGTTTCCAACAATAAAATTTTGTCTTGTGAAAAAGACCAGTGGGGTTGGTAAGAAAAAAAGTTAATGTCAAGTTATATGTATTTATAAAAGAAGTTCATAATGGTCATTAGATTATGTGACCGCTAGATGGCGCTCGTTTAAAAGAAGCGTTAATTTCAAAGGAGCGTTACCCTGTACTAAAATGGCGGATCTGTTGACGCATTCCGTCCAAAACACAACATTAGGGTAGGCGACATTTAACGTATATCTATGGACGCTAACTAGTATTCACGTATCATGCTCAACTCTATATATTTTTTTACGCACTTTGAGAGTGTTTGCGTTATTTCAGAGAGATATTTAAGCACATATGAAGTAACAGTGCCGTCTGTGTACTAGTTACACAATGCAGCATTTAGCTCGCTCGTAAACATCGCTGCTGTCCTCAGATCATTGTCTGAGCAAAAGTTTCATCATAAGCCATGACTGTCAGATGCTCTTCATCTCAGGAGCTGTATTTTTAGATGCTTGATAACAGATATAAGGTGAGTTATGGCTGGAGTGGACGCTGCCAGACGGGCTTATATTAATTTTGGCATGACAGGAGAGAACAGGATACTAATGAGTGACAGAGAGAGTCCACAAAAACAGCTCTCCGGTTGCATTTCATTTGATGAATATTATCTTTTAGAGCTTCAAGTCTTGCCTCAGGTTTTTCCCTCAGGTGTTTCTCGTCAGATTTGTCGTCTTAGAAAGGTGACAAATGTTTAAGTTTAAGACATATACTTAAATTAATATAAGTACTGAAATAGCCTATAGTACCTTTGTATAAGATTTCAGGTAAATCGTAAACCCATATTATGAAATCATGATCGACTTATTGATTGACTTATTTAAATATATAATAAATAAACATAATTCAATTTCAATATTAAACATAAATTGCAAGAAAACCTAGCAAGATTACTAATACCTGCAGTAAACTACAATTAAAATAAAAAGTGAACATTGAATATTAGATGAAAGGCTTAACTTGAATAAGCAATCAGTTTTAAAATGATAAAGATCGCCATAGAAATATTGCTGTGTTGCATTTAATAAATATTACAAGAATATTAAAAGCCCATAAATAATGCAGATTTTTATTATTTGATCCCAAAGTCTGAACTGAACTGGCTGATGAGGCTCTGGATGCAAAGTTCATGTTTGCCTTTAATCTTTGACCTTTAAATTCCCATCCAGCAGTACAGTATGTTGTGTCAGTATAAATCTGGCTATAAAGCCTCATTGAACAATTTCCCAAAAGCCAGTGCAAGGTGTAAAGACAACTGAGAATTGACTGTGTTTGTTGTGGGGCTGTTTCGGTTGCTGTTGATAAGCTAATGTGTGTGTGTGGTGCATTTATTTGCATCTAAACTCTCTGTATGTGTTGTATTTTGGACCTCTGTATTTAAATGTGCTCTCTCTCGCAGCATGTTTCCATCAACTGTTTCGCTTGAATACGAGTTATATATATATATATATATATATATAAATATATATATTTGGCTAGAAGAAAAACAGTTTTTAATTTTTTTCAAACCATTTTAAGGTCAATGTTATTAGCCCTCTTAAGCAATATTTTTTGGATAGTCTACAGAACAAACCACTGTTATACAATGACTTGCCTAATTACCCTAACTTGCCTGAATAACCTAGTTAACCCTTTAAATCTCACTTTAAGCTGAATATTGAGAAATGTCTTGTCAAATAATATGGACTGTCTTCATGGCGTGTCATTATTATAAATGAGTTATTAAAACTATTATGTTCAGAAATGTGTTCAGAAAATCTGCTCTCCGTTAAACAGAAATTGGGGAAAAACATACAGTGGGGCTAATAAGTCAGGGGTGAATAATTCAGACTTCAACTGTACATCAAAACGAATATTTGCTGAATGTGAATTGAATGTCTTGATGTAGTTACCCTCTAGATCAGTTTGGGAATGTAAACAGTTTGCTGGTGTGACTGGCAGGATTGCAGAGTCGTGCTGTGCGGCGATCCTTCATTCACTCCGGACGGTCTCATTGACACTGATTACATTACAGCGATCCAGAGTTCAAGCCAATTGAAGGACAGAATCAAGTTTCAATTGGCCAAATTTTCTCGGTCATTTAACTCTCCCATGTTGGCTTTCGGGTCACTTTGTTTTGTTTTTTTTGTTTTTTAACAGCCGGAAAAAAAAATAAACAATATTTTTTCGTCTTGTTTACACTCACCGGCCACTTTATTAGGTACACCTTATTTAAATGCTTTCAGAACTGCCTTAATCCTTCATGGCATAGATTCAACAAGGTACTGGAAATATTGCTCAGAGATTTTGCTCCATATTGACATGATAGCATCACACAGCTGCTGCAGATTTGTCGGCTGCACATCCATGATGCGAATCTCCCGTTTCACCACATCCCAAAGGTGCTCTATTGGATTGAGATCTGATGACTGTGAAGGCCATTTGAGTACAGTGAACTCATTGTCATGTTCAAGAAACAAGTCTGAGATGATTCACGCTTTATGACATGGTGTGTTATCGCTGTTGTTAACACTGTTGTTATAAAGGAATGGACCACCACAACCAGCCTGAACCGTTGATACAAGGCAGGATGGATCCCTGCTTCGTGTTGTTGTCGCCAAATTCTGACCCGGCCATCCGAATGTCGCAGCAGAAATAAAGACTTATTAGACCAGCGAACGTTTTTCCAATCTTGATAACGTTCACTCCGTTAACGAGCAGTTGAACAGGTGTACCTAATAAAGTGGCCAGTGAGGGTATGTTTGTGTGTGTGTATTGACTTTACTAGTTTTCTCTGCGACACTCATTGCTCCAGAAACTTGCCATGGGCCCTATAGTAGATGATTATTTTTGTGTTAGCAGCAGCCAGCAGTCTTAATAACAGCCGGAGAAGAATGTGTGTCTATAATCTCTAAGCTTTTACTATGATGATCATATTGGAAGCCATTGTCAAGAGATAGTCCACCCAAAACTACAAGTTCTGTCAACCTTTACTCAGACTTCGCTTTCTTCTGCTGGAACGCAAAAGAAGATCATTTGAAGGCTGTTATCATCCGTCCACATGGTTAATCAGCTATAGATCACATACGGCTGCAGCCGGAACTTAACTAGAATTATTAATATTATTTATTAAATTTCCCATTAATTATAACTCATTAATGCCTACCCCTACCTTAACCGTCACAGTAATGTAAAACAGATCTGGACTCTTCTCTATTAGTATAGCTGATTAACAATGTGAATGGACGATAACAGCCTTCTGAGTGACATTTACTGCGCGGAAGGCCCCTACTGGCCCATATTTATCAACTGATAACCACTGATAAAGCTGATTAAAGCAGCTGACTGGACATGGTGAAACGACATTATTGGACCACACTAACCAGCCAAATGTGGGGTCCCATATGTGACATGGCACTAGACTTTTAGGTATTTTAGAGATGTGTAATAAATGAATGTATGATGTGGTTTTATGTGTCTTTGGCAGCGAGAAGAGGCTGAATCCAAAGCCCGAGAAGAAGCAGAGAAACAGAGGATCGAACGAGAGAAACACTTCCAGAAGGAGGAGCTGGAACGCTTGGAAAGAAAGAAGGTAAAATAAAAGTCCACCAATCAAGCTAAACACAGCATCACGCTCTCTCATTCACACACACACATAGGCGTGCTCGCTCGCTCGCTCGGGAGTGATATTGTTAGACCGCCGGCTCCCGTTCAGATTACACCAGTTACCGACCGCTCCCATGCTTTATCCGGAAATTAATCCCACGTTGCAATAAATCTGGTCGGGTCCCGCAGACCTCTAATCTGGCATTACGGTGGCTCAGTGGTTAGCACTGTCGCCTCAAAGAAAGAAGGTCACTGGTTCGAGTCCCGGCTGAGTCATTTGGCATTTCTGTGTGGAGTTTGCATGTTTTTAGTGTGTGTGAATGAGTGTCTATGGATGTTTCCCAGTACTGCTTTGCAGCTGGAAGGGCATCCGCTGTGTAAAACATATGCTGAATAAGTTGGCGGTTCATTCTGTTGTGGTGACCCCTGATAAATAAACGGGCTAAACTGAAGGAAAATGAATGAATGAATTTTTAAAAGTTGTTAAATATAGCACTTAGGAAATATTTTTAAACGATTTAAATTTCACAGGAGGGCTCAACATTTTGTCTTCAATTGTATTTGAGATTTTAGTTCAGTACTGTTGGTTTAACGTTTGTGTTTACATTTTTAGCGTCTGGAAGAAATCATGAAGAGGACTTGACGCAGGAGCACAGGTGAGATGTGTGTGTGTTTCATTAAGTCTAATCTTAAACACACACAATGAAAGAAAATTAACCTAGTTTATTCATTTCTTTGAATATGACAGCGGTAAAAATCTATTTATAGTACTGAGAATATATAAAAATCACTCTTTTATTAATATCATGTAAGTAGGGTTAAAATAAAAAAATACAATGTTGTTTTCCTCTCGTCTTGCAGTAATACAGAAAAATCCGTCAGAAGCTCTTCATAGTGGTGCGACAAACCAATCACCAATGAGGTAATCGAGACGCTGCATGAATTGAAATTGAAATGAAGCTGCATGAATTATGTTTTGCTTATTTTCCCGCTTGTGTGTCTTCCTCAGCTCTGTGTCCTGGGACGCAGCACCGGTCATTAATGGAGCTCCGCCCACTAAGCATCAGAATGGACTGTCCTCCAATGGAGACGCAGCAGACTTTGAGGAGATAATCAAGCTGTCCAATCACAGTGGGAACAGTGGGCAGAGTCAACCGGCTGACCCAATCATGGCCTTCGAGGGAGGAGAACCGTTCATGATGAAGGCGTGGCCTATGAAACCTCAACATGTGGCAGGTAGAATCAGATTTTGTTCGATTACGTACAGTAGAAACCAGACGTTTACATACACTTTATAAAGAGGCATATAATTATTTTTTGAAAAAAGTCAGATGTTAATGTGACTAAACTTATTTTTTTAGGTAAGTTAGGATGATCAAATTTGTTTCCGTTCTGCTTAATAGCAAAATAATGAGAGAGATATTTTTGAGAAATTGTTATAACCTTTCTTGAAAGTCACGTTTACATACAGTAAGATTATTCTGCCTCTGAAAAAGCTCAGATGATGATGTCAAGCTTTTGGAAGTTTCTGATTGGCTAATTGACAACATTTGAGTTAATTGGAGGCATTGTAGAATAGTATTTAAGGAAAACCTCAAACACACACTGCTTCCTTGTGTGACAACATGGGAAAATCAACAAGCCAGAATCAACAAAAAAGCCAGATTACAATTTGCTGAATTACACTGGAAAAAGGAATAATTTCATGAGACATGCTGGTGGTCTGATGGAACTAAGATTGAACTGTTTGGCTATAATGACCAGTGTTACATTTGGAGGACGAAGGGAAAAGCTTACACGCTTATGAACACCATCCTAACTGTGAAGTATGGGGGCGGCAGCATCATGTTGTGGGGCTGTTTTGCTGCAGGAAGGACTGGTCCACTTCACAGCATAGATGACATCATGAAGAAAGAACATCATGTAGAAATACTGAAGCAACATCTCAAGACGTCAGCCAGGAAATGAAAACTTGGCCACAAATGGGTCTTCCAAACAGACCATGACCCTAACCATACTGCCAAATTAGTTCAAATGTGCTTTAAGGACAACAGAGTGAATGTTTTGAAGTGGCCATCACAAAGCCCTGACCTCAATCCTATAGAACATTTGTGGGCATAGTTGAAAAAGCTTGTGCGAGCAAGACAGTCAACACATCTGATTCAGTTACACCAATTCTGTCAGGAGGAATGGGCCAAAATTCCTGCAAACTATTGTGAGGAGCTTGTGGAAGAATACCCAAAACATTTGACCAAAGTTAAACAGTTTAAAAGCAAAGATTAAAAAAAATACCAAGGAAATGTGTGTAAACTTTTGACTGTCTAGAACACAGGTGTCAAACTCAGTTCCAAAAGGGCCGCAGCTCTGCACAGTTTAGTTCGAACCCTAATTAAACACACCTGATCAAACTAATAGCGTCCTTCAGGCTTGTTTGAAACCTACAGGTAAGTGTGTTGGAGCAGGGTTGGAACTAAACTGTGCAGGGCTTCGGCCCTCCAGGAATTGAGTTTGACACCCCTGTTCTAGAAATTAATAGAAAATTCTCAAATAAAAATCTCTCATTATTCTGGCATTTAGCAAATGTAAATCATTTAGGTTATCCTAACATACCTAAAATAGTAAACGTTTAGTATCATTTACCATCAGACATTTTTTTAAATGGTTATGTTTCTTTTTTTAGAGTGTATGTAAACTTCTGGTTTCAGCTGTATGTTAGATCATATATGGATCAAATCTGGGCACCAGTGGAGTTGCTTTTCAGTGTTTCGTCTTTCAGCAGTGACATTTACATTATACTGAACTGAACTAAACTGAACCCAAAATAAAATGTTGAAAATAATGTATAAAGGATGATTAAGAGAGTCTCTAAGCTATTTTCCATGCATGAAACTGATGATTTCTGCAGTTTGTTGACTTTAGGACAGTGTGAATGACTGAAAAAAGCAGCCTTGGCATTCTGCAAAGCGTCTCTATTTTCAGCTTCATAATACCAGTCATAGATGTTGTTGGCAAGCTTTTAATAGTTCAATAAATCATCTTCTCACATGTGTTTCTGCTGTTTTCCTGCAGAGGTGCTGTGAGAGATGAGATATCAGAGTCTTCTGGATATGAAGAGAAGAAGAGAAGCCTTACTCTACCACCGCTTCCACCCTGATGTGTGCCAAACCAACAAAAACAGACTGCTTTAACTTTAGAAACACAGCCAAGCCGGACGCGCTCTGGAGAAAGTGCCAGATGACGACCTTAAAGAGACACTTATATACATATACAACATTTGCAAAAAGTCTCTGTCTATTTCAGTGTGTGTGTCATGGTGCAACATTTGTTGAGTTTCTTTAACAAGTCACCTGCCGATCATGTGGTGCACCTTAAAAGAGTCGCTATATATTGAATTTTAGAAAAGACAACTTGGCTTATCTTTATGATATGAATTATTGTTGTTGTTGTTGCTCTTGTTATGATGTATTGTTATCGTTCTTTTAAGTAGAGAAAAAAAGCAAACGTGTGTCTTGAACTATTGCGTTATTTAACGTGTGGCGCATCAGAAGAGGCCGATATTCTGTATGTTAATGTATATTTGCCTGATTATGACAGACCTGTGGAATAAATCTTTATGAAAGGGGCTGTTTGTCAGTGAGTGGAGTGTTTGCTGTAGTTTAAGCTAATCGTAATAATGTGATTTTTATTTTAGTCTGGCTATATCATGATGGTAGAACAGTGCTTTATAATAAAAATAATAATAATTCCTTACATTTATATAGCGCTTTTCTTGGCACTCAAAGCGCTTTACACATAGGGGGAATCTCCTCATCTACTTTTTTTTTTTTTAATGCAAGAAAGAACATTACAAATATATAATATGAACAAAGAGACAAAGAGGGTTACATAAATAGAATTCCAGCAAATTTATCAAGTTTAAATGATTTACACCAAGAAAGCGTTTTACATGCAGTGTAATTATGACTGTTTATGACTGTTCCAGTTACTATGACCATTTATGTGAAGCTGCTTTGACACAATCTACATTGTAAAAGCGCTATACAAATAAAGCTGAATTGAATTGAATTGTAATTGTTAGAGTCTTTTAAAGAGTTCACATAAATTTCAAAGTCCAAAGTCAAAGTCCTTTCTGAAAATAAAAAAGTAAGGGTGTATCTTTGAAAATTAACATTTATGGAAGTAAAACTTTGCTATAAAAAAACAATAAATCAATAATAAATTTACAATGAGAAGGATCTACACTCAGAGAGTAACCAAAGAACACAATTTTTGGGGAAATACAGAAGTTTGGAAATAAGAATTTTTTAATGAAACTGGAAAAGTCAACCCAAAACACTTTACAGTAAGTACACTCTCAAAATAAATGCTTTAGTGTTTCATCATATTGAGTACAAAATGAGCATTTAGGGGAAATATTATTAAATTTAGCTAGTTTGGTATTTATTGGGTAGCAATCTCCTCATCTACCACCAGTGTAGCATCCACCTGGATGAAGCGACAGCAGCCGTTTTCCACCAGACCGCACACCACAGAGAGAGAAGACAAAGTATTAACGCCATGATGGACAGAGGCCAGTGGGTAAATTTGGCCAGGATGGTGGTGTTAAACCCGTACTCTTTTTCGAAAGATATTCTGGGATTTTAGGGTATATGCTGAAGCATGCTAATAGGACATTTAATTTGTCAGTAACCTGGGTTAAGCGCTTCCAGCAAACTGCCGAAGGTAAAATCAGCACGTTTAAGGTCTGTTTTCTTTAAAAATCAGCGATCTCCACTGGCTGAGTGATATCCGATATAAAGTAGGTCTCAGATTGTACAAGAAGCACTGCATTAAATTACATTTCCCCCGCCATGTCTTTATAATATGAGCATTTATTTTACCTCATTGTATTCAATGGAGCGTCTGCGCTAGTCTGCCGATTCTGACGGGCGAGTGCGAGTAAAGGGTCTTTTGTCTCGTTTTACGCTTGAAAAACTAAATGAATGCCAAAGTTTATTTAACTGAATGTATTTTAATTGCATCACAACATCAATGCTGTAAAAGGAACTGTATAAAATGGAAAAAACTCACTATAACCGGTCACCGGAAGTTTATAAGTATGGGAACAACAGCTCGGCATATATCCAATTATATTCATCTGTCTCCATATTCTACTGCATCCCAGAATATTACAGAACACCAAAAATGTAAAAATATATATTTATTACATTTGAGATATTTTTGTCAACAGCAGACGGCAACTAGCCGTGACGCAAATTCCGGAGTCTCTGTGCTCCAATCAGGTGAGCCCTCCTCAGCGCTCGCCATGACAACGAGACAACAGTGACGTGCCTTGTAAAGATTTGCATATGCATTCCTATAAAGCTCGTGTGCTCTCAGTCAGCGTCGTCAGTTCGCCCGGTGTAGCTGTTTGTACTTGACCAAGGTGAGTTCAATACCGACGGTACGAGTGGAGCTACGCCAAACTCACGAAGTCCGCTTCGTGATGCTTCACCCGGGCCCGTCTGTGCTGTAGTTCCTTGCGGTTTGCGTACATAAACGCAATATCGCGAAGAATATTACGTGTTTGTTGCTCGAAATGTGCCGCCGAGCAACATCCAGTGAATACTGGCACGGCCTGGCGCCCGGTCTTTCCGTGCACTCCCTGGGGCGAGGCGGCCTTTGAGCCCTAGGCAGGGAACAAACAACCCCCGAGGACCCTCAGGGAAACACGGGCGGCCGGTAGTGGGACCTCGCTGCGAGGGTTATGGTGGGTGGGAGTAGCGAGGCCCACTCATCTTCTATTTTAAACTATAGTTTCAAACTTTAGTTTACTATAGTTTGAAATAGAAACCATGATAACTGTTATGATTGAACTTTATGCAAAGAGCCTAGGATGACCAAGAGCAACAGATTCGGCCATTTTGAAGTGAAAGCGATCGCTCGTGCATTGGATATCATTGCTGTCGCAATGGCAAACAGCGGCTTTGTTTTTATTTAATTTATTCAAAAAGCGCGTTATTGTTTCCCAAATTGCACTAGAGGATCGCCTCTTGGTGATTCTATGCTCTCTGCTCTTTGTCTGGATGTTGTAATGTTTTGCTTTGTTTTTCAGATGAGTTGTTGAGCAAAGAAGGACTATTGAAGACAACAGCTGAACGCGGGTCATCTCCACGAGCGCGCGCATCATAATGTTTTCGGTCTGTTTTCTGAGAGTTTGTCTTCTTTAGATAAGTTTGCAGGTCAAACAAAATAAACTATACTCTTCCTAAACACATGTCTCGTGTTTTATTTGTCTTCTACAGCAATACACTGTCATTTAAGTCTGTTGAATGCATTTGTATGCAACATGGTTTGATAATACAGTAGTCTACAAATAAATAGTTGTTATAAATGTACCTTCAGTAGTCAACATTTAGTGTAGGTAATCAAAAGTTAATCATATTTGTCCTAAGACATAAGAGTAATGTTATGGTTGTTACATACCTGTATTTATTATTATGCTGTATGTTTAAAACTAGCAGATTTACTATATATGTAACATGTCATGAACTTACTGTTATTCAAAAAATTGCTTAAAATATCTTAAGACAAGAATGGGTGTTGTCATTGGTTTTATGTCAACCTACTGTAGGTTTTAGGGTGAATACAGCAGATATAGGCAACCTATATCATAATATTGGTAGTTTGATTTATTTAATGACCCAAATCAAGTAAAACGTCTCTTCCTCAAGCATGCAAAAGTCAAATATAGATATATATATAAAACACAGTTTCCAACAATAAAATTTTGTCTTGTGAAAAAGACCAGTGGGGTTGGTAAGAAAAAAAGTTAATGTCAAGTTATATGTATTTATAAAAGAAGTTCATAATATTTAGTTATTAGAATATGTGACCGCTAGATGGCGCTCGTTTAAAAGAAGCGTTAATTTCAAAGGAGCGTTACTCTGTACTAAAATGGCGGATCTGTTGACGCATTCCGTCCAAAACACAACATTAGGGTAGGCGACATTTAACGTATATATCTATGGACGCTAACTAGTATTCACGTATCATGCTCAACTCTTAATATTCTTTTACGCACTTTGAGAGTGTTTGCGTTATTTCAGAGAGATATTTAAGCACATATGAAGTAACAGTGCCGTCTGTGTACTATAGCTACACAATGCAGCATTTAGCTCGCTCGTAAACATCGCTGCTGTCCTCAGATCATTGTCTGAGCAGAAGTTTCATCATAAGCCATGACTGTCAGATGCTCTTCATCTCAGGAGCTGTATTTTTATATGCTTGATAACAGATATAAGGTGAGTTATGGCTGGAGTGGACGCTGCCAGACGGGCTTATATTAATTTTGGCATGACAGGAGAGAACAGGATACTAATGAGTGACAGAGAGAGTCCACAAAAACTGCTCTCCGGTTGCATTTCATTTGATGAATATTATCTTTTAGAGCTTCAAGTCTTGCCTCAGGTTTTTCCCTCAGGTGTTTCTCGTCAGATTTGTCGTCTTAGAAAGGTGACAAATGTTTAAGTTTAAGACATATACTTAAATTAATATATAAGTACTGAAATAGCCTATAGTACCTTTGTATAAGATTTCAGGTAAATCGTAAACCCATATTATGAAATCATGATCGACTTATTGATTGACTTATTTAAATATATAATAAATAAACATAATTCAATTTCAATATTAAACATAAATTGCAAGAAAACCTAGCAAGATTACTAATACCTGCAGTAAACTACAATTAAAATAAAAAGTGAACATTGAATATTAGATGAAAGGCTTAACTTGAATAAGCAATCAGTTTTAAAATGATAAAGATCGCCATAGAAATATTGCTGTGTTGCATTTAATAAATATTACAAGAATATTAAAAGCCCATTAGGCTTGGGCGGTATCCAAATTTTGAGACCGTCAAACCGCCTCCATATTTTACCCCGGTATCCGGTATTACCGGCGTATAATAAAAAAAATTATGACGTAAGGCTCAGACAGCGTCACCAAACTGTTGGCTTGAGCCTAAACCATTCAGAAACTGAATACCTTCTATGCAATCTTAGGCTCGCGGTCAGAGAGGAGAGAGAGGGAGAGAGAGAGAGAGAGAGAGAGAGAGAGAGAGAGATAGAGAGAGAGAGAGAGAGACGGCCTCTCTCTCTCTCTATCTCTCTCTTACACACACACACATCTCTCCCGCGATTTATTCAGAAATTTACTCCCACACCGTAAGAAATCTGGCCGGCTCCCGCGGAACAGCAGCGATTGACAGCTTTATTAAGTCGAACCCGTTTACAGCCCGACATTATTTAAGTGTGCTCATGCACACAGCTCTAATGCATTTTTTTCAAGAATGAGTCATTTATATGTTTTAACATCATTTATTCGTAACAAGCGTAGACTATAGGCCACTTGGAAGTTGGAACAAATAAAATAAGTCCTCTGAAACATCGTAACATCTCAGCACTCTAACAATTTGCCTTTAAATTGGCTAACACAATTAAAAAAAGAAATCTTGCTTAACAAATCAAATTAAAATAAACTCTAAATGATGACGGGTATTTTGGCAATAACGAAATTTAGTTAAAGGCTGTGAAAGAATTGTTTCTCCATTTCTCTTCACAATCTGGCATTAGGGCGGCG